GATATTCATATTCAATCCCCCCCACCCCAGAATTCTCGGGGAACAATCAGCCCAGTGACAAACAAAAAACCCAGATTGGGTACACCCCAAGTGCGATAGGAGAAGGATCGTTGAGTGCGAGAGGAACTGACCTGAAAAATAGGATCATGGCCAAGCTTGAAACCTGGATCCCCCGTAGCCGGTTACCAAGATTACGTGAAGTACCCTCAGAAGGTCTGCTAGATGATGTTAATGCAGCACTACGGACAATACCTACAACCACGATTACCGACACTAACAAGCTGATCTACAATACGGCAGCAGTGATCAGTGAGATGCTTGGCTACAAGTTGAACAGCCACAAGGGGCAGTACCCTCCATGGAGAAGGAGGCTAGAGGGCAAGATCAAAGTAGCACGGAGGGAGGTTAGCCAACTAACGGAGTTGCAGAAAGGTGCGACAAAGAAGGTGCCTAATAAGAAATACAGCAAGCTGTCCATACCTGAGGCCTTGGAAACTGCCAAGCAAAGACTCACAGCCTTGGCCAGCCGCTTGAGGAGGTACACCACCCGCACCCCAAACATCACAACCATTGAGGACCACACCCGCAATAAACACCCACGCAAGAACCCCTCAAAAGGGCAGCCAGAAAAATCCCAACTCCTTCAGTGGCCAAAACTCCACTGGGAAACCTAATCAACAGATGAAACCACCCCAACTGCTGGACCCAGACCGGAACAGCATATACTGGAAGAGGCCATATGCCGAGAAGAAGACGCACCGCATCAACAAAGAGGGCACACAATATAAAATGATCAGTGGCCCTAGAATGAATTATCTCATGGGCAGGACCACCCAGCCAGACCATACCCCTGGAACCAGGGTCCTCACTAGTAAACGAACCTACCCACCACAGATACGACATATTAATCCCAAAGAATAAAAAAGCGTCTCCACAGCATGAAGAAGATTCTCTGCAGACAGCAACCAAACGGGCCAAAAGTACTGGGAACTGTTAAAACACGCACTAGAAAAACACATGCCAAAAACATCCAACCCCAAAACAAAACTAACACCCAAAACCCCAAAGCGACACAACAACCACACAACAGCCGCATAAACTGAGAAACAAAAGCACAAACATCTAAGGAAAAAAACGACATCCACTGCCTAAGTTCCAATGCATCCCCTCCAAAACGAAAGACAAAACCCGAATGTAGCCTATACTGAAGGACTGAAAACCTGGCTACCTGCCACAAAACCCCAAACGAAAACACCACACAAAAAAAGAAACAAACAATGGGACCGGGATCCCCTCCACAAACAAACCTACCGCTTCATAAAAATCGCCCCATACAAACCTGCCTCTCACTAAACGATAAACCAAATACAAAAAACAATGAACAAAAGCTCCCTAGGAGTTACAAAACGCATTACGAAAATAACAGCAAAGCCTTAAAAATTGAATAACCACAGGCACCTATGAGCGCACTCCCAAAACTAACCCACCCACAAGAAACTCACCCACCTCTAAACCAGAACATATAGAAGAAACCTAGCGGTGACCAACAGAGACACCAAGAACCGTAAAACAATCTACCCCAGCACAATCATGCCGCACAAACCAACGAAAATCAAATACCAGATAGCTGAGACACAAAACAGCCACGCCATACACTCGCAGACACAAGTGACCACACACAGCAAATACAATCAACACACACCAGAGATAAAAAGCGAAACAATCGCTAAAAAAAAACAAAAGACCAGGGAGCACAACAGCAAAACCAATAAGAACAAACAAACACCTCACATGGCACTGCCTACGACAAATTCATAATCAAAGCGGACAATCAAAGGCCAACACCCACACACTAGACTCCAACCAATGAGAGATGAACAACACCAGCTGCCCCCCCCCCAAGACTATAAAAAAAAAAACTGGACGTAGAAACCAAATGCTCCCTCTAAGAATCTGATACAAGATCAATGGGACCCCTAAAGAGGCCTTCATTCAAGCTCTGAACTCAATAGGGATTGGCGCAAACAACTACTTACAACACCACTAAGAGCGAGCACCAACTCCAAAGCCACCATAGCACGAAAAACTCAGATTCACCAAATTCAGTGCGGGGAAAATAAGAATCGGATTAATCTATACCAACGAGAGTTGGCTTCTGTCCCCACTGGCTATATAGATTTCCTCATAGGCTGAACCACACCTCCAGTGAGTATTCATAACCCAAGACATGGCTAACGGATACGCACTATCGGAAAAAAACACGGCCACAGCCCACAGCACCAACCCAAAACCTGATCACTTGTTCAGCCTACCCCGGATAATACTGGCTACGGATACCGACTACGGAACGGAGCAGTTGTCAGCCACCTCCTGTACATGGATGACATCAAGCTGTATGCCAAGAGTGAACGAGACATCGATTCACTGATCCACACTACCAGGCTATACAGCAATGACATTGGAATGTCGTTCGGACTGGAGAAGTGTAGTCGGATGGTAACAAAGAGAGGGAAGGTAGTCAGAACTGAGGGGATTGAACTACCAGAAGGCAACATTGCAGACATAGAGGACAGTTACAAGTACCTGGGGATCCCGCAGGCGAATGGGAACCATGAAGAGGCCGCTAGAAAAGCTGCAACCACCAAGTACCTGCAGAGGGTCAGGCAAGTCCTGAGGAGTCAGCTGAATGGTAAGAACAAGATCCGGGCCATCAACACGTACGCCCTGCCCGTGATCAGGTACCCTGCTGGGGTAATAGGCTGGCCAAAGGAGGAGATAGAAGCCACTGACATAAAGACAAGAAAGCTCCTTACCATGCATGGAGGGTTTCACCCCAAGTCCAGCACCCTGAGGCTGTACGCTAAGCGGAAGGAAGGCTGCAGCACCACAGTCCAATAGTCACCCCAGCGAGACCCTGAGGCTGTGTACCAACGCAGAAAGGAAGGGGCCCGGGGACGGTGAGGTAGCCACGGGTAAGGATGCAACAAACATCTCCAGAAAGACTACATGAAAGAGCCAAACCTAACGATCCACAAAAACAAAAACAAGTGCTCAGTGAACACCCAGGGCAGCAGTCACAAGCACATGCCTGCCAGGCTGAG